TTAATAAATCTTTTTACCTGTGCTCTCAAATAAAAATCTTTCGGCTTTCGCTGCTTGTTCTTGGCTTTTAGCTGGTGTTAATGTTAGTTGGGCTGAAGCAGGGGGTATAATTGAGATGACCCGATTAAGGCTCCAGCCTGATGCATGTCCTTGTGAATTTTCCTTACTACTGCTCAGGTGCAAACCTGGGTAGATACACGAACATATAAATGCAAGAAAAATGTTTAAATATGTTTGCCCATACGCTGTATTTGAACAGGGAGTGGGGGAAAAATATTTTTGTGACCCCGTGATCCAACATTTTTGTTGTCTATGAATCGTGATGTGCTGAAAAACCGTTGTGTATTGTGATTGAAGTGGACTCCCTCAAACGCGAACTACTACAATCCTTGATTGTGAATCGTGAATACACATACCTCGAAGAAATAAATCACTTTTAATAAATACTTTTTAAAATTTTTTGCTTTTTTTTAAAGCTAGCAAGGGCAAGCGCGAAGTTGAGCGTCAAGTGCAACAAATAGTTTGTAAAGGGATCAAATTAAAAATTAATAAGACTAAAAATATGAATATCTCATTCATTTAAAGTAAATTTTTATAGACTGTAATGCATTGTGGTCAATAAAGCCAAGTCATGCGGATTCTTTTCCTTTTGTTTTTCCAAACTAACGATACTTAAACTTAATCGAATATAATGGTGCCTATCTTACTAAACGTTCTATATATTTGCTTGTGGCATGAGTGTATTCCTTCGTCACGTATAGAAATTTAATTCTAAATATGCTGAAGACATTAACCGAAATTCAAGTCGCTAATATAGGTGTAGTCCCATTACCTCTCCGGTTATATGGAGCAGGTCTTCGGTTTTGTGCATGTTCCCGACTTGTATCAGCGTCCTGCGCCTTGTTTTCGAAAGCTAGTCTCCGCCATTTTACGTTTACTGTACTCTCACCTGTCAAGAAACGTACGTGATTTATATGCTGCGGGGGACGTTCTGTCGCAATTTGTAATACCTGCCGCAATTTGTAAAAAATCGTGTCGCACTTTGTAATCAAAAAGCTGTCGCAACTTGTAATAACTGCCCATCGCACTTTGTAATAAACTAAGCTGTCGCAATTTGTAATAATTCCATCGCATTTTGTAATAATTTTTTGAGAGTGATTCAACTAATACTTCGTCAACATTAATGTGATGCCAGAATATGAACGGTACTTCATAAACTTAACAAAGATGATGACGTCTGCAAACAGGCAACTTACAAAATTACTTACATATATCATTTACAAAGTATCTCCGTTCATTCAAGCCATTTAACTTTATTCATAGTTCTAAATATTTTTTTAAATCAATGTTGATTAGTTGTCTAACTTACAAACTTCTGTGTTCTTAAACCTTGCTATTGTACTAAGTGGTTTGCGTGCAATGGTTACCCGGGCGAGGGCATACTCCCTTAGATGGCCAATATGGAGATGTGCCACTGGACAGAGCACTGTCAGAGAACAGAATCTAGACACACTAGACACAAACTAGCCACTATTAAAATGCACTTAATTTGCGCAAATCGTAACATCCATCCTTACATAATTCGAATAAGGACACCATGAAAGTTCAAGCTTTTCTTTTTAGATCTTATATAGCAGGTCGACACTACACCGTCCTTGAACGCGCAATCTTAAAAGAAGTAATTATAGTTGTTTCCATATTTAACACTTTTGGGGTCATACAGAGCCGGCTGGTCATTTGGTCCATTATTCTCTCTTGATTTGAACAAAGGAAGTCCTCATTCTATCTTAAAACAATTTTTTTCTATGGACAACTCGTAAGACCTTGCAATTCTTCCGAGTGTGTTCAGGATTACTTTTTGCCATAAAATGGAAAGGATAATAAACCATCCATTACTACTTGAGTTACCATATCTAAGGATCAAACCAAAGACACAAAGCCAACAAGTTAAAGTTTCATGTCTTCCATAAAAGCGATTCTCGTTGGTCACGTGATTGATCAAGGCAGAAAAATTTATAACGGAAGACATGCATGTTTGACCAAAGAAAAAAATTTCGGTCTATAACAAACTGCGACGGAATTAGTACAAATTGCGACGGCTTAGTTTATTACAAAGTGCGATGGACAGTTATCACAAATTGGGACAGCTTTTTTATTACAAAGTGTGACATGGTCTATTACAAATTGCAACAGGCATTACAAGGTACGATGGATTTATTACAAATTGCTACGGGTATAACAAAAAGCGATGATTATTCCAAATTGCTACAGTGCAACTGTAAGACGTTACTCTGTAAAGGACAAAAACCTGACTTTATACTTTATATATATAACAACACTGCCCGGTGTAAAAGAGCCTTTCAGTCCAAAACAACATTCTAAATTCAGAAGCCTCGGAGGACTTCAGAACTTCTGATTTAATAGAACCTTTATGGTCCCAGCCCTTTTGTTTTTGGGCTAGGTTCTATTGTAAACTTTGTTGCCATTGTTTTCTCAGCCAATCCCGTGAGATCTTTTAACAACTGCAAGGTCGCCCCCTAATTTTGTTACCAAATCGCCTAACGGTTGCTATTCGTTCTAAGCGGAGAAGACTCGAGGCAGGTCCAGACAGAGCTATAAAGTTAATTTTGATACTGATTCAGTCCAAGATATTTGTCAAGAAAGTGGCGAGCGTCGGTTAAACAGGTTGGCCTTCAGTCTTTGGAGGCTGGTAAAAGCGCAACTCATCAAGGGAAAGTTAGGTTGATCAAGTTGCAAGCCAGCACCCAAGCCGCAAATTTACAGTGCGACCACTTGAACCGGGTCACTTGGAAAAGATGATCTAATCCTAACGTTTTTTTTTTTGAAAACAGGGGATTCTCATAATTATTTTTTTATTATTTATTTATTTATTTATTTATTGCAAAGGACTACTAAAATTCGAGGTTCAGCTATCGGACCGTTGAAAGGCTTAATATTTAACCGTTTTAACTTACCCCGCCTCTCAGGAGGCAGGCCTCAAAATTTTTAATGTAATTGATCCGTTTGCAAAAAACCTTGAGAATATTTTGTTTTTGAAAAACGTTGTGATTGGATAATCTACTTCCAGCTGCCCCGGTTCGAATACTCGCACTGAAATACTTCTGGCAAACAATGTCTCACTGAATACTGGGTCAGGTTCTGCTCCTTGAACCAGCGTGAAAACTTAAGAAGGCTTGGGCTTTTGTCTCGCATTTGATCGAATATATCTCACATTGGAAACCTCTTAACAGGTATACACTTCACTCATAATGTTAATGGCAATTTGTACGATCTTGCATCCAGAAAAAGGAACGCCCTGAAAGTTCAGCTGAATTCAGCCACAAAAGCCAAAACGTAACATGGATAAAAAACAACGAGCAAACAATACTTTCCTTAAAACAAACAAAAAAAGTAAAAATATTCTTAGCTGGTAAACGGTTCTTAATAAATCTTGTTACCTGTGCTTTCAATTTCGGCTTTGGCTGCTTGTTCTTGGCTGTTGTTATCTCCTTTTTCTTGAGCTGGTGTTAATGTTAGTTGAGCTGAAGCAGGGGGTATAATTGAGGTACCCCGATGAAGGCTCCTGCCTGATGCTTGTCCTTGTGAATTTTCCTTACTGCTACTCTGGTGCAAACCTGGGTAGATAGACAAACATATAGAAACAAGAAAAATGCTTAAATATGTTTGCCCATACGCTGTATTTTAACAGGCAGTGGGGGGGAGTGGGGGGGAGGGGAGGGGAAGGGGCGGGGGGGACTTATTTTTGTGACCCCGTGATCTAAGATTTTTATTGTCTATGAATCGTGGTGTGCAGAAAAACCGTTGTGTATTGTGGTTGATGCAGACTCCCTGAAACGCGAACTGCTACAATCCTTGATTATGACTTGATCGTCAATAACATACATTGAAGAATTATTAAGTCATTTAAAAAGTTTTTTGTTTTGCTCTATTTTTTCAGCCAGCAAGAGCAAGCGCAAGGTTGAGCGTCAAGCGCAACATATATTTTGTAAAGGCATCAAATTAAAAATAAGACTAAAAATATGAATATCTCATTCATTTAAAGTAACTTTTATAGACTGTAATGCATTGTGGTCAATAAAGCCAAGTCATGCGAATTCTTTTCCTTTTGTTTTTCCCAACTAACGATACTTCAACTTAATCCACTATAATGGTGCCTATCTTACAAGAAGTTCTATATATTTGATTGTGGCATGAGTGTATTCCTTCGTCAAGTGTAAGAAATTTAATTCTAAATATGCTGAATACATAAACGCAAATTCAAGTCCCTAATATAGGTGTAGTCCCATTACCTCTCCGGTTATATGGAGCAGGTCTTCGGTTTTGTGCATGTTCCCGACTTGTATCAGTGTCCTTTGCCTTGTTTTCGAAAGCTAGTCTCCGCCATTTTACGTTCACTGTACTCTCACCTGTCAAAAAAACGTACCTGATTTATATGCCGCGAGGGACGTTACTCTGTAAACGACAAGAACCTGACTTTATACTTTATATATATAACAACACCGCCCAGTGTAAAAGAGCCTTTCAGTCCAAAACAACGTTCTAAATTCAGAAGCCTAGCAGGACTTCAGAACCTATGATTTAATAGGAGCTTTATGGTCGCAGCTCTTTCGTTTTCGAGCCAGGTTCTATTGTAAACTTTGTTGTCATTGTTTTCTCAGCCAATCCCGTGAGGTCTTTTAACAGCTGCAGGTCGCCCCCAGACTTTGCCACCAAATCGCCTGACAGTTGCTATTCGTTCTAAGCGGAGAAGTCAGTCGAAGCAGGTTCAGACAGAGATATAAAACTAATTTTGACTCTGATTCAGTCCTAGATATTTCTCAAGAAAGCGGCGAGCGTCGGTTAAACAGGTTGGCCGTCAGTCTTTGGAGGCTGGTAAAAGCGCAACTCATCAAGTGAAAGTTAGGTTCATCGAGGCCAGTTGCAAGCCAGCACCCAAGCCGCAAATTTACAGTGCGACTACTTGAACCGGGTCACTTGGAAAAGATTATCTAATCCCAACGTTTTTTTGAAAACAAGAGATTCTCAATTGTTTTTGGAAAGGACCGCGAAAATTCAAGGTTCAGCCTTAATAGGACCGTTGAAAAGTTTAATATTTGACCGTTTGAACTTACCTCGCCACACAAGAACCAGGCCTCAAAATTTTAAAAGTTATTGGTCCGTTTGCAAAAGACCTTGAGAATCTTTTGTTTTCAAAAAACGTTGTGATTGCATAATCTACTTCTAGGTGCCCCGGTTCGAGTACTCGCAAATAATGTATCACTGAATCCTGGATCAGGTTCTGCTCCTTGAACCAGCGTGAAAAACTTAAAAAGGTTGGGCTTTTGTCTCGCATTTGATCGATTATACCTCACACTGGAAACCTCTTAACAGATATGCACTTCACTCCTAATGTTAATGGCAATTTGTAGGATCTTGCATCCAGAAGAAGGAACGCCCTGAAAGTTCAGCTGAATGCACCCACCAAAGCCAAAACGTAATATTGATAAAAAAGACAAACAAACAATACTTCCTTTAAACAAACAAAAAATGTTAAAATTTTCTCATCGGGTAAACGGTTTCTAATAAATCTTGTTACCTGTGCTCTCAAATAAAAATCTTTCGGCTTTGGCTGCTTGTTCTTGGCTTTTATTATCTTCATTTTCCTGAGCTGGTGTTAATGATAGTTGGGCTGAAGCAGGAGCCATAATTGAGGTACCCTGATTAAGGCTCCAGCCTGATACTTGTCCTTGTGAATTTGCCTTACTACTGCTCTGGTGGAAACCTGGGTACATACACGAACATTTATATAAATACAAGAAAACTGTTTAAATATGTTTGCCGATACGCTGTATTTGAACAGGGAGTGGGGGGAACTTATTTTTGTGACCCCGTGATCCAACATTTATGTTGTCTACGAATCGTTATGTGCTGAAAAACCGTTGTGTATTGTGATTGAAGTGGACTCCCTCAAACGCGAACTGCTGCAATCCTTGATTGTGAACCATGAATACACATACATTGAAGAAGTTACGTCACTTAAACATTTTTTTGTTTTGCTTTATTTTTTTCAGCCAGCAAGAGCAAGTGCGAAGTTGAGCGTCAAGTGCAACATATATTTTGTAAAAGCATCAAATTAAAAATTAATAACACTAAAAATATGAATCACCTTATTCATTTAAAGTAACTTTTCATAGACTGTAATGCAGTGTGGCCAATAAAGCCAAGTCATGCGGATTCTTTTCCTTTTGTTTTTCCCAACTAACGATACTTAAACTTAATCGACTATGGTGGTGCCTATCTTACTAGACATTCTATATATTTGCTTGTGGCATGAGTGTATTCCTTCGTCACGTGTCAGAAATTTAATTCTAAATGTGCTGAATACAATATGCGAAATTCAAGTCGCTAATATAGGTGTAGTCCCATTACCTCTCCGGTTATATGGAGTAGGTCTTCGGCTTTGTGCATGTTCCCGACTTGTATCAGTGTCCTGCGCCTTGTTTTCGAAAGCTAGTCTCCGCCATTTTACGTTCACTGTACTCTCACCTGTCAAAAAACATAGTACGTGATTTATATGCCGCGACGGACGCTACTCTGTAAACGACAAGAACCTGGCTTTATACTTTATAGTTATATATAACAACACTGCCGCGTGTAAAAGAGCCTTTCAGTCCAAAACAAAATTCTAAATTCAGTAGCCTCGCAGGACTTCAGAACCTTTGATTTAATAGGACCCTTATGGTCCCTGCTCTTTTGTTTTCGGGCTGGGTTAATTCTAGAGTAAACTTTGTTGTCATTGTTTTCTCAGCCAATCCCGTGAGGTCTTTTAACAGCTAGCTGCAAGGTCGCCCACCGACTTTGCTACCAAATCGCCTGACAGTTATATTACTATTCGTTCTAAGCGGAGAAGTCAGTCGAGGCAGGTCCAGACAGGCCAAAACGTAATATGGATAAAAAACAAACAAACAAAGAATACTTCCCTTGAAACAAACAAAACAAGTTAAAATCTTCTTAGCGTGTAACGATTTTTAAAAAATCTTGTTACCTGTGCTCTCGAGTAAAATTCTTTCGGCTTTCGCTGCTTGTTCTTGGCTTTTATTACCTTCTTTTTCTTGAGCTGGTGTTAATGTCAGTGGGGCTGAATCAGAGGCCATACTGATTGAGGTACCCCGTTTAAGGCTCCTGCCTGATGCTTGTCCTTGTGAATTTTCCTCACTACTGCTCTGGTGCAAACCTGGGTAGCGGATACACGAACATACAGATACAAGAAAAATGTTTAAATATGTTTTCCCATACACTGTATTTGAACGGGGGTGGGAGGGGGAGGGAATGAGTACTGAGGCGGATCTGTGAGCTCGCATTTAACGGTTAGCTAAATGAACAATGTCTAGTCTTACACTTACACTTCAGCTGATACGTAGCTTACTGCCGATGCCTTCTATATCCCCCCACCTGTACAATACAATGATCAGCTGACTAACATTTGGCAGAAACAGGTCTGAGTACACGGCAAGACAATTTACAGCAAACCTAAGTGTACTGAAACGCTCTTCAATACCTGGATGTGACGCATATTTATAAAGACTCGTCTCCTTTGATCTTTTTTCTGGTGTAAGTTTTTTATATGACGAGGCAAAAACAAGGTACGCATCCAATTGTGCTTCTTTAACTGACTCTTCTCTTGCTACTCTGAACTCTTCTTTCCCGAATTTAATGCTTTCTTCGTAGTTTTCCAGATAGTAATATGACCAGCCTAAAATTTTACACGCGTCTATTTCTTCATGTTTATTACCAACATGTTTACTCCAAAGCAGCCATATTTTGGCGTTTTCGATGCATTTAAAGTACTTCTCCTGTCGATAGTATTCTAGTGCCTTGCTTTTTGCGATTTGCCATTCCATTTTCACCAATGGCTCGAATGATGCTCCGAGGCCTATCGAAATAAAAAAAAATTGATGTTACTCAGTTGCGAATGCTCAAGCCCATAAGTCAAACTGTTGAGTGGGGAAACATATTTTACGGTTAGAAGTAGTTCAGTCAAATATTTGTATACAGTGATGAGTTCTACCGTTCTACGGCAACTTGAACTTTTCTAGTTTTTCCTCTTGGAACTTCGTTGATACGTTTCTTCGTGGTATATTTTATGTATTTTTTAATATCTTGATTCGAATGCGCAAATCAATGCTTATTTTCATAGGAGGGAAGGGTGGTGCAAATAAAGTGGGCCTATGTAAAAATTCTCCTGACCCTCCGTCGCCTCTTACCCAGTCCCTTCTCAAGAAAATTAAGGCATGGGTCTTTTATTTAATTCCTCAAAAACAGTGGGGGGTGATCTAACTTCTTAAGCTTTCAATATAGCACAAAATAACTTAAGGACAGACTTCCTGGGTATAAGTTTGATAACTTTGAATAATGATTGGAGTCACTAATTGTCACGTGACCTATTAAGACTATTTTTAGCACAAAACTGGAATCTATTAGGCAATAATTACTTTCTGGAAGTTGCAGTTATCGTCATAGTTATGAGACTAGTGGGTACATCATTTCTGTGTTCGGGCATTTTAAGTTAATCTTTTAAACAGGAACGAAATTCGAAAATCGTTTGATGAGGGGACTGGGTACTAGTAAAAAATTATTTTTATTTACACTTTCATAAAATTATTCAACAAAGCCCGGGCACAGATGTCTAGTCGTTCATCTAGGGACATGTTTGGTGCCATCTCTGATTTAAGTTTTTTTCGCACAAAATAGCCGTCAAAGCTCACGTGACCTAATATATATTTTTTCACCTGGAATCGCATGAACTTTTGAGAGTCATTATTTTACTCAAGTTTTTTCGCTATAGGTCTTAATCCTCAAAATTTAGACCACCCCTCGACTTTTTGAGGGAAATTGAAAAACACTCATCTCAGTATAATTTATGTTTTGATGTTTGTAATTATAAATAGCCTGTGTACAGACGTCCCCCCTCCCTGAAGGGGTGGAGACGTCTGTACACAGGCTAATTATAAAGAGCAGTAAAGTAAACAATCAAAATATTTCAGTGCAAAAAGAAAATAAGACTGACGGCTGCAATATTTCCAGAGTTTTTTGTGTAAGCTCGTCCCGCTCTTATGTTAATACACTTGACACCATTGGTTAGGTTTCGCTCTTCATCTTTCTTTGGCTATCAAGCACTCCTTCGACGCAAGCGAGACAACAGGTAAATGTCTCTCCGAGAAAAGATTGTGTGACGGTTAAGACGCACCGCTGAGTTTTGGCGACATCGGGTGCTATTCTTCGTTTTCACTGTCACGCAATAAACACGGCACAAAAAATACCGTAAAATTCCGAATATAGGCCCCTCTATCTATAAGCCCCTCCAAATATAAGCCTCCCAAACAGCTAACGTCAAAAACCCTTCGTTAAATCGCCCCTCCAAATATAAGCCCCTGGGGACTTGTAACTGGAAAATTGCCCTCAAATACAAAGTAAAACAAAGCAAAAACGGTAAATTTACTTCCAACTATAAGGCTAATCGATTTTGAGGCGCAAATTCCCCTCCGTAGATAAGCCCCTCCGAATATAAGCCCCTCCAAAAATAAGCCCCTCAAAAAGGGCCTTTGAAAAATATTAGCCCCGGGGCTTATTTTCAGAATTTTACGGTAAATTGGAAACCGTCCAGGGGAAGAAGCCAAGAAAATGAACTGTTATAAAAGACTAATATATAAACAATTTCCAAATCTCAGGACTTTGTGGCCCACAGTTTTCATGAATGATAGAAAGACGTCTTTCTATTATCCATGCAGTTTCTAAGTTACTTGTCGAAACACTTCACGCACCTTTATAATAAGAGCTTGTATGGAGACGCCATATTGGTGGACAGAAACTGTCCACCGATGACCAATATATGGCCGCCGGAAATCAACAAAAACATCTGGAGGTCACTTTTTCTATAAAAGGTCTTCCTTTTCACTCGAGAGCTAGCATACGTGCGCATAAAGACGTCTTTTAATACTTGAAATGGTTAAACTGCTGAAAATCAAGAGGAGAGACTTTTTTGAATGAGAAATCTTTCCTATTTTGGTGTCAAGCACTGTGAAAGCTCGGAAGTTCAAATTGCTGTATTTTCGAAATGAAACAAGCTTCGGGGATGGAAAATGGGCGCAAGAAAAAATCCCCTCGCGTGTCTCTCTCGCGCGGGCCCGTTCTTTCTTGCGCTCATTTACTTCCTACTTCCTGCTACGCAGGCTAATATCAGAGAAAGTTCTCATGTAGAAAAAAATTCTGGGTTTTATGTCTATCACCTTTGAGAAATGTATCAGTCATTTCCAAACGTGATGATCGCAACTATTTTCTCTTTTGAGCAAACCACTGAGTAACGATCTTGAGTAACGTTATTTGACTGCTGAGAAGTCTTTGAAATGTAACTCGAGATAAGAGTTATATAAGAAAAAGTTATATAATATAACAGTTTGTTTTTGTTTGTTTTTTTTTTTCGACATATGGTGTGACACATTAAACGTGACCGAGGAAGATAAGAAACCCGTGATATGACGTTTGAAAGACACTTCCATGACAACCACCTTGTTAAACCTTTGTTTAACGAATTCTCAAAACTTTGTTATTATTTCACTTCGTTCAATTTGTCAAATGTTGGCGAATTTTTCTGAAGCTGAATTTTAAAGGACTGTTGTTTTGCTAAGTTGTTAAGCTTGTTAAGACGTGACATTTGTATTTTTATAACTCCGAGGAGTGCAACAATCTTTGGAATAAATACGTTACTTTGTTACAGAAGTTAGTTTTGTACTTTTCATTGAAAAAAGTTATTTTATACTGACTCGCATGGCTGGCATGCAGGCGGTGTGCGCACTACGACTGCGATGCATTGTGGATTCAAAATTTTCAAGATGGCGGCGAAGGTCGAGAAATTTCGCAGGTTATATGCTTTATTTTTCAATAGATACAGTTCTTTCCTTCGATAGTTTTTCTCGATTTCACAAGCTAATATTTGTTTACATTTTTTCTGTGAAGAAAAACAAATCAATATTCTTCATTTCAATCTAAAACGTGGAGCCCGAAGATTCCTCCTGTAAGAGCATGAAATTTGAACCCGGTTTTTAAGAGGCTATAATTTCCATTATATTGCCCGTCGAAAGTAGAGGATAGTTGTAAGTGTTTCTACAAACCTTGTTCTACGCTAATTTTTTATCGCTCCCCAACGCGCCCCACGTTTTGTGATACTTTTTCCGAATTGAAACCGGCATGTTTTCATGGGAAAATGTAGCCTCGCGAAGACCAATGTGACATGTTACGAAGTGTTACTGTTGTAATCACAAGCTGATCACAAAATAGCGGGGCAGCGGCGACTGGTTCCTCCAAACAATAGCATTAGGTGAGCATAAAATGTTCGAAACTGGTATATAAATAGGCTGATGAGTACTCTGATGTAGGAATGTCTGTTTTTGTAATAGGACTAAAAAAGCATAATAAAATTGCAGTCATACATGTGACTCTCTTGATGCAGGTATAAAATCAGTAGGATTAGAATCACAGGTATTAAATTAAAAGATAAGTTTGATTATACAGTTAAGCCCTGTGCATTTTGAAACTAGCAATCTACTTCCAAGATTGGTGTGTGTTGTTGTGTGGATGTTATGACTTTGTCAGTTTCTTGCCTAGTCCCTGTTTTATTCAGTGGTGATTAGCCTCCGTAGCAGGCATTTAAAAGGAAAGGGAGAGGGGTTTTGGGCACAAGAGAAATGCGAAGAGTGCACGAGGAAGGAGGGAGTGATTTCAACATTCACCTGGTTGATGTTTATAATGCAAAAAACAATTAGCCTCCTGTATGGCAGGCATTTCCCTCCCTCCTTCCCTCACATTTCTCTTGCACCAAGACCCACTTTCCCTTTTCTTTGAAGTGCCTGCCACACAGGCTAAGTGATGTCATTCAATCTGTTTACCCGTTTACACTGTTTAATATATATCAAACAATTTGCATATTTTGGTGGCTTTAGTTAAAATATAAATTGCTTGATCATTGAATGTACTTTTGATATTGGAAAACCAAGGCTGAAAAAATGGTGGCAGGGAAAGGAAATAGAAAAAGTGGAAGAATGGGGCAGTAAAATCATGAGACTAAGAACCTGAATTAACTAAGTAAGCCCAAACAGATTCTTATATAAATAGTAGTTAGCACAAGTTTAGGCTATTTAGGTTTTTAAATGGGTTCATATTTTCTGAAGTAAAAATGTAGCTAAGAGTATTTGCGTTTCACCTTATTCCTCATACAAAGTCTGCATACCAAATTAGAAGTTATGTGAGAATGGACATAAAAAGAGGAATGTATTTAAATTTAAACATTGGCATTTACATTGCAGTTGGAGTGATAAGACAGCTTTGTTTCCATAGAAGATTCTAAATGTTGATTTATCTCTGCTCAAGTGTACAGAATTTTTTCATAGATTTCAAAAATAAGAACCTGTTTCAAATTTTAGGCTAAACAGGTTTTTATATAGAGG